CCCTATATGAACACCCCTATATGCAACACTGCCCCTATATGAACACACCTATATGGAACACTGCCCCTATATGAACACCCCTATATGCAACACTGCCCCTATATGAACACCCCTATATGCAACACTGCCCCTATATAAACACCCCTACTTACTGATGGTTTATATTAATCGTTATAGTATTTAAACATGGGCACTTCTATTGCAAAGCCATCAAAACATCAAGAGAACACGAATAAGCGTGTTCCTGCCGTCCTAAAGCAGACATGTGAACGGGAAGAAGCCCAAGTATCGTCATCAGATTGTAAGTGTTTGCACGATTTTCTTATATATGTCGGGGGGGTTGGGGGAGGGGGGGGGGTAATTCTTGGGGAACGGGTCAAACGTGTGCCATTTATCACGCGTCTCTCATCTCTGTGTTCTTGGGTTTGATTTCTTGTTTTTCTATCACACGTAAGTAGAGTTTAAGAAGAGATAACTAGCTAAAAACTAGTGTGAGCTGCGTCGGTGCGGTTTCTAATGAAACAGTAATGATAAAAGGGTAAATTATACACCGTGAAAAGATGAAAAAAACTTACGTTTCGGACGCTCATCCTTCGTCGGAGTAAAAGAGAAAGAGGTGGTAGAAAGGAGTGTTTATATAATGAGAATAAGACAAAAGAAACCAATGAGAACTGTTATGAGAGAGAAAATTAATGTTTTTACAGACTAAGCTAGACATCAGTTTTTCTAATTACTATTTCTTATCATATGAAAACAAGATAAAGAACGATCAATTAGTTATTGAAAATATCGATATAAGATTTCAGTAAGGCTACCATCACGTACAAGTTTAGATGATGGTATGCTTTGAATTTACAAGTAAACTACCTAGCTCCTCCCATTAGCATGTACACCTATGGTTACACCCTAAACACTCTTTACCCCTTTGCCTAGTTATTTTAGCACTATTCTTTTAAATCTTATGATATAATTATTCCTCGTAGACCTTTCTATACATTTACCATATATTCACATATTATCTTTGGTTTAAGTTATATTTAGTTCTATGATTTTCACTCGTATTATTCTTAATAAGATATCACACTCAGGAATTTACTATTTCCATTAGCCAATCAAGGCACAGCGATAATATCATATTGATTGTAGGATGACACCTGTCATGAAGTTATTATAAATAGAGCTCATGTAATTAGTTTAAGTCAGAAGAGTAGAGATAGAGTATAGAATGAAGAGATAATAGAATAAAGATCCCGAGTAGCTCTACCGAGAGCGGACCATCCCATAACAGAACACCTCTTTCTCTTTTACTCCGACGAAGGACTAGCGTCTGAAACGTCAGTAAGTTTTTTCAACTTTTCACGGTGTGTAATTTACCCTTTTATCAATTTGTTAAGACTATCCCTTCATTCGAAGGTTTTTTTCTCTCTGGGTTCTCCAGTTTTTCTCCCTCTGATAAACCTAACGCGCTAAATTCTAATTCGATCTGTGAGTAAACCGTGCCTGGACATGTACATGTAGATCAGTGCTAGATCAGTCAAGAGGTTGTTTCAGGGTTCGAACGAAATGCCAGAAATAACCGCCCTTTCTCAAACTGCTTTATAAATCATGAGGACAAAATAAAGAAAATCACTAGCGTGAAGGAGTTTTGAAAATGTGTTCTTAATTAGCATAAATTTGAGCAGCTTTTGCTTTAAATTTCTCCAATAATTATTAAGAGTTTGAGAAGCCATATCAAGCACTTGAAAGAGTTTACGCATCTTCTGTTCAAACACCTCGAAGTTGGATAAAAAAAACTCGCCTCCACCTCGTTTTTTCAACTCACTTCTCGAGTTGTTTGGAAATCGGCTGAAACACTCTTTCATATGCATTTTTGGTATATAGAGATTATCACATGTTTAGAGCTTGATATCGTTTTTATTCACAGTTTTTCATATCATATCGCGAACGAGCGTTATTACACATTTAGGGTCGATAAAATGACAAAGTTTCCAGTTTCCAGTTTACCGTGAAGTGACATCGTATCACTTCACTGATATGTTTTTATTCACGGCTTTATCACACGGATATCGACCCTAAAAGTATAATAAACAGCTATTTCAGAACAGATTGGTGAAACTTTTGTTGAAACTTGAATGTTGCATCCATTCACTTGCTTAAAGAGATGGAAGATTAGATGAAATAGCATAAAACTACCATATTATCCCTGGACTTATAAATGCCCGATGTACTTTTTTGGTTGGGGTTATTTTCGAGGGCGTTTCTCTTTGGATGGAAAATTGTGTTAAAAATACACTGTTGCGATTTTTGGATGAAACATTGTGTCTCAAAGTAACGCAAATATACTGTGGTAATCTGCAGTCAAGAACTCCTCTATTTGAACCATCAAAAGTGAAAAAGCAACCACTAAATGGCTACGCCTTGAAACGCTCGCTTCACTGAAGCAAAAGAGCGTCACGACCTCACCATTAATTACCAGAACGTTATGTCCTTTTTCTTTTGTTTCTTTGTTTTTATTGTTATCAGGAGGTCAACTGTTTTATTGTTTTCTTAAGATTAAATAAAATAGCTTTTAGTGGTAAATATTTCGAGAATGTTCGTGGCTCTAGTAGTTTTGTGGATCAGTAATGATGAAAAGGTAAATTATACACCGTGAAAAGATGAAAAAACTTACTGACGTTTCGGACGCTAGTCCTTCGTCGGAGTAAAAGAGGAACAACAGCGCAGCTCACACTAGTTTTTAGCTAGTTATATAGTTTTGTGGATCACAAGTTGAGTAATTACAAACAACAATAGAAGATATAGAACAATAGAATCCAGGGTCATTAAGTGCATATGATTTGCGGGGTATTCTATAATTATAACAATATGAAATGGTTTAAATCCAAGTGTTGAAGTTTGTTGTGAAGTGTGATCGTCCGGGTGAGTGTAGTCTTGAGAAAGGTGGAAAACTAGTGAAAACTAGTGTAAACTGCGTCGGTGTTTTCAGTAAAACAGTTGATAGATAGATAATTTGTAAAAAAAACAAATTATCTATCTATCAACTGTTAGTCTTGAGAAAGACTGTTGTTGGTGGTGACTGACGTTTCGACAACCTGAGCGAAAGTTATCTTCAGAGTCCAGTGAGAAAACGAGAAGCAGTTGATGGTAATTATACCTCTGTTTCGGTCGGTAATTAGTCGGTATTGTTATGTAAAGATGCGTGAGTGTTATTACAAGTCGCAGTCTTTCGTTTGAGGTCGTGAATAAGTCTATTGTAAGGCGCCGGTGATTGTCGACTTTTGCGGTTTTTGTTCTAAGTTTTTATACCAGCTTTCAAGCCTAAGGCGTTGACGGTAGTTGGTGCTATATGTAATACATGTGGCAGAGTCCCAGTCAATGTCGTGTCCAGTATTCTTGTGATGTTGTAATAGATATACTATAACCAATTAGGCCGATGTATCCCAAGAGATTCACGCAATCATTGCCGATTTCAGAAAAGTTTTGTTTAATTTGTTGATAATCATAAATAACCTTTTTGTTTATATGTATTTTGGAATGAATTGTATATAGAATTACGCATAGACAATGCTTCATGCCTTGCAATCTCAATAGACTTCTTTCCACCTAGTATGAGTACGTTAGTAGGTTTTCAAGGGTCTTTAAAAAACTGTTTAGAGGATAAAACTTGACAGTAATTCAACTGATAAACTCGTGGTCCTAGTTGTTTAGGGACGTGACCGCCCATACATGGTCATCCGAGTTACCCACGGTGGGACTAACCATTCGGAATGAATTTACAATGGCGCGGGCACCTCCTCCTCGGTTAGCACAATGAAAACAAAAGGGAAAAACAACAACAAGAAAACCTCAAAAACAAACAAAACAGAACATACTCAAGAAAAGAAAAATAATTTATGGACCAGGGGAGCGAAATATACTGAAGACATTTCAAAAATGCTTGAAAAAAAATTGACAGGAATTACGAAGAATGTATGTACTTAGTGACCATTCGGTTTCCCTTATCCATACCCGTATTGTAATCATTGTCATTACTTAGTGATTTGTCAATCTTTGGCAGGTTTAGGGTTTTCGAGTTCATGTTAGCATATTTGAGTCCAATTCTGGTCTTCTTTCTGTAAGCTGCGTACTCTTTCATGACTATGCGGAACATTTCTTTAAACCCGAAATCCGAATCCGGTTTAAATTCGCCAATGTTACTCTGGCTATCCAAGTAATCAAAATACGGCCAATGCGTGTTATCCTTCTCACCGTATGCGTAGCATTGAATAGTCGTGCAGAAGTCTTTAGTGTTATTGTGCAAACTGTGCGTCTGGTACCATCTTGGGGACATCCACGTCACATCTCTTTTCTTCACGTATTGTTTTCCAAGTTCCTTGACATCGTTACTTGGGTTCTCATTCAGTTGCTTATCCTCATCGCCACCTTCCGTCATCTTGTTGTAATAGTAGATGGTCAGTCCACCATGCAGTACGCGGATAACTGCGTAAGAGTTACCATGGTTGTGTACAGGACTGCCGTGAGATTTAGGCCAAAGTTCTATTACGTATGGCACCCCAGGACAAGTACTGTATTCTTTTCCCAGTGTGATGCGAAGATATGTAAGATTAGAGCCGCCGAACCCGCCCTGTTTCTCCTTCAGTTTGTTGTTCAAAGCACATCCTTCTGTTTCTATACTGTAGCGGATTGCATCTGTGAGCGGGAAATGATACTTCTTGGCATTCGAAGGCACGTAGTCAAGATCAATGTCTGCAGCAGTAACGTTAGCATAAAGGACTTGACACTCTGGTGGAAGACAGCTAGAATACATATATCTGCCGTCATCCAAGTAAAAAAAATTAGCTTTAGTACTATCCTTCACTAAGGGCTGCATATCGTACACCAGGGGCACCGGATCAAATTCTACCTCAGGTTCTACGCTGCCTATAGCGTTCATGTTGACGTCGCGGACTTTCTTGGTGTAAAATTCAACCTTCCGGTTAACCGATGGATCGAAGAATGCCAGTTGATTTTCTTTAGTTTGCTTGAAACTGTATTCAAGGATCGTCGTCGTTTCCATGCAGTATCCTTTGCCGTACTTGACCACCATTCGGTCTCTGTCATAGCTCAACCAATACGTGCAAAGCCTGTCGTGCTCAATGCCTACACTTTCGCCAAAATACTCGTGCGAAGTTTCATCGCGTAATTTTTGAACGTTAGGTTGGTGGTTTCTCTTCGCAAGAAAAGAAACCCTGTTTTTGCCAACACTGAGACCAATCCATGATTCTCCCTGCGTCAAATCCACTGTTCCTGGACGCACAATCAGCTGGAATGACGAGGTTTGATGAATATTGAAGAACAGGGTACCTTTGCCAGTGACCGGGAAAGTCTTGGTCCACTTGGGGTTTCTCTTCTTGAATTTAAATTGGTGTATGACATTCTGGTCCTCGTCATGCTTGTGATCCATTGGGGCTCATCAAGATCGATGGACACGCTACTTCAGTTCTTACAATGTTCATTGTAATTTATGTGTGCTTGTGGTCAGTTCATGCATGAGTGTTTCAACCTCACAGAATAATCAGAAAGAACGATCCAGAGGTAATCTCTAGTAACCATAATAACTGTTGTCGGAACATGGTATCAGAAGTTATTGTTATTAGTATATTGTTCTATTGTTATGCTGTAGATTTAACGCCAAAACACAGAAACGCTACGCCCACAACATTCGCAGCTTCGTGCCTTGCCGCGCATTGTCACTGGGCTCTTCTATTGCAATGAATTTGTGATTTTTTCCAGATATCAAGCTGATGGAGGAGTAGAGTACGATTTGCGAACCGAAACATCGATAATGATGGCCTTTAAGATCCTTTACAAAAAAATATCTAAAACAAAATTCAAAAAATCCGTTGTTATAGAATTAGAAAATACTTCTGTATCCGGGGCAACTACATCTGAAGGCTCTACATCGACATCTAGTACAGAAGCAAGTAGTTTTTAGGCCACAGCTACCTCACTAGATAATCTTATTGTCTTGACACCCTTAGAGGTATCCACACAACTAAACTAGAAGGGCCTCAAAATGCATTAAAAGGTTGAAAGTAAAAACCAATGTGGTCAGCCATTGATCCAATGGAAGAACTTAAACCTCCTTCCGAATAAACGATTTTATGCATTTAGGAATTGCTCCTTAGAAATTATTACCAAATAATTATAAAAATCATCATGTAAGTGCTATCCTTGCAGCTTGCAATTGACTAGTCCTTGGAAACACGTTTTGTTTAGTTTCTAACCTTTGTCACATACCACAGCTAGCCCAATCAAGACTACTAAATTTCACGATCTTTTTTTTCGTATCAGTTATTTTACTTGTTTAAAAGTTTGACAATAGCCTTCTTAACCGCCTATACAAAACGAGGAGAGAAATTTGAAACAGTTATTAACACGAAAAATGTACATTTAGGTGTAACACATTGTTCAGTATCCTCCAGAAAAATACAAAATGAAGACAATTTGTCTGCTTTTTATTATTGAATTATTATTTATTTAATGTTAGTCCAATGATCTAACTGTTGGTAATTAGTCTTTATCAATTGGTCAAGTATTAGTCAAGACATATTACTATCAAAGTGATTAACAATTAGTCACAGGAAACTGAAGTTGAAAGGGTTTTTCTTATCGTTGTTCACGGCTTTCGTAGCCATCATTGGTTTATTAAACAGTACAAAAAACATGGCATGGCTTTTATTATTTCTTTCTGGCTAGCCAGTCATTAGCGTTACTACTATACCGTGTAAGCAAACTGCATACTCTATTTTCATTCCCCTCTCCCCGTACAGCTGAGCGGTGGGCAGACAAAATGAGTTCAATTTTCAGTTCGATCTGACAGTAGATTCAGTATTAAACAGCGTTAGCAGCATTCTACTTGATTAGACGAACGAAGTCCCTTTTAATTATCTTTAGAAATTGTCTACAATAAGAGATATAATATCCGAGCAGATGCATGATCAAAATAAGACATAAGATATGAGATTAGAACCTCATCGTAAAAATAATAATCAGAGGAAAAAGAAAATTTAACTTCAAAAGGAGTGACTGATTTTTACAAATACTATACAGAATCAATTAAGATAACAACTTCCTCGTTTAACATATTTAGACATTTAGACATTTACACATTTAGACTAAAAGAAATATCATGTGTTTCCTCGAAGGTTCTGTCAAAACAAATGCTGAAATACCATTCTCCATCTTAAATCCTCACTAAATGGTCAGGGCATTCTGGATTTTCGATTCACGAGTTGAATTTTACATTTAAAGTTCAGGCTGACGCACACAAGGCAAAGAATGCATAATGAAACACGTGATATATCTTTTAGTCTTAATGAGTAAATGTGTAAATGTCTTTTTTCGGTAGACAACGTTAATGACATTGACTGTATGTACTTATATGTATACGCTGTGTTTTTTCCCCCTCTTTTTCAATGTTTTGAGTTATCACCCTTGTTCTTCGTCTGACGATGATTTTTGCACTTTTAAGCATTTAAACCTTTTAACCTTCATTGAATTTTGTTCAATATGTATAGTAGGGTACACGGAATATCATAAGTGTATTACTTCATGGTAGAGGAAGCGTCTTAAATTTTGTAAATGATTCCAACCTACGAAAACACGTTAGACTTAACAATGCAAGTTAATTGTTTTTACACATAGGCCTATTAAAAACTTTTTTCTACGCAGACGTGTCTTCTTCAGCTCGTTAACTTACTGAGCAGAGTTTATCCTCATAGCTAAAATATCGAATATGTTAAATTTGATTTTTTGCAATTCCTCTTGGTTTATGTTCTGGTGTATATAGTGTTGATGTTCATCCTAGACTGAAGCGGTATTGATGTGAGGTGGTTACATGTTGGGTCCTGGTTACTATCTCCACCTGATGTTCTGGTGCATCTAGTGCATGTTGGGTCCTGGTTACTATCTCCACCTGGTGTTCTGGGTCGTCTTGGTATCAGTTCATTTTCTGCTGTAGTTTTCCTGCAGCATAGACTCTTTAGTCCTTGTCTAAAGTCCCTCAGAAACACAAAATAGATGCTGGGATTGATAGCCGCTAGAAGGAGCCACATATATAGAAACGAATTGTACATTTTACCAAAAGTGTCATGGTCCATTGACAATAGTGAATGGTGATTGCTATAGTACAGCATTTCACACACCTTTAAAGGACACCAACAGATGGTAAACATTACGACTATAGTTATTAACATGCTGAATATTCGTCGGTTTCTCCTCTGTCGAGAACGTATAGTTTCTTTTTGCATCAAGTTCATGACATTGTACAAGCTTTTATGTAGTTCATAAACTATTATAGTATACAAGATTATGATTATGATGAATGGTATAACAAAGCCCACCGCAGTTTGTATGCAAATCAATATCATTTCAGCTCTCCAATTGTCAAATGCTGGTGACCATGAATAGTCGCACTTCGTGTAGCCCCATACATTTATCAGACGATAGGCGCAAAAGAATGGAGAGAAGATAGCCATGGCTACGATCCAAGGGAAAGCGATTGCAATCCATCTTGTTTTACGACTTAAATTCTGTCGTCGATTTCGATAAACAACAGCGATAAATCTTTGAAAGGCGATGATAACCAGGCTGATAGATGATACAAGTGGTGATATATGAAAGAGGAAGGGAAACAGTTTACACAGTGCCTCACCAAGGGGACCGTCCACTAACCATTCAGACTTTGTCGCAAAATTCCAAATAGACCATGGCATTGCTACTAACGGAACTAGTAAGTCTGATACAGCCATATTGACAATCAAGTAGTTTATATTTGTCCTTAAGTTTTGATTGCAATACACGACAGCGATAACGAGTACGTTACCAAGAAGAGACCAGGCAAGTAGAATAGAATACAAGGTTATTAGAATATGAATAGGATTTGGATGTGTCGAATGGGAGGTTATATTTCCTTGTGTTGAATTGTTCATGTTCGTTGTAAAAACTTATTATCTCGATGATGTCTGTTAAAATACAATGAAATATTTGAAGAAGATTAGAAGACTTACAACCAGTTGTCATTTTGAGGAAATACAGCTTACCTTGTTTGTTAGAAGGAGAAACGCTAGTACGCTTTAGTAGGTTTGTGCTGGAGCACAACTTGTACAATCATTAACGTTAAGGTTTCAGAAGGTAATATCCAGCTGCTCTCCCACACCTGATGATCTTGATGACCAATAGTACTATGATATTATTATTGCAGTAGGTTTTTGCTCGTACGCAACTTGTACAATCATCAACGTTAAGGTTTCAGAAGGTAATTT